GAGTGGCTGGAGGGCGTGACTGGAGGGTAGGCGAAGCCATTGTGTGACTGGAGAGCAGGCGTGAAGCCATTGTGTGACTGGAGGGCAGGCGTGACTGGAGGGGGGTATAGGCGCGAGGCCATTGCGTGACTGGAGGGTGGGCGCGGGGCCATTGCGTGACTGGAGGGTGGGCGCGAGGCCATTGCGTTACTGGAGGGCAGGCGTGAGGCCGTTGCGTGACTGGGGGGCGGGAGATGGGCATGAGGCCATCTTGTGACTGGAGGGTGGGCGCAGGCCATTGTGTAACTCGAGGGCGGGCACTGGGCCATTGAGTGGCCTGAGGGCGGGCGCAAGGCCAGGCTCGAGGCCATTGTCTGACTGGAGGGCGGGCGCGAGGTCATTGAGTGGCTGGAGGGCGTGACTGGAGGGTGGGCGAAGCCATCTTGTGACTGGAGGGAGTGACTGGAGGGTGGGCGAAGCCATCTTGTGACTGGAGGGAGTGACTGGAGGGTGGGCGAAGCCATCTTGTGACTGGAGGGGGAGGGCAGGTGCGAGGCTGTGGTGTGACTAGAGGGCGGGAGAGGGCGGGTGAGGCCGTCGCGTGACTGGAGGGCATGGCCGCAGGGCATGGCGGGTAGGCGGGAGGAGGCGGGAGGAGGCGGAAGAGCTGTGGCACTGAGCAGAGGTCTATTGCAGGGCCCACCGCTTCCGCGATGTTTCAAGTTCCCGTGGACTGCCAGGACTTCATCAGGATCCTGCAGCCGTGGGTGGAGAGCGTTCTCCAGGACGTGGGGCTGCAGAGCTGCCGGGAGTCCTTGCAGGCCCTTCAGGCCTTTGCCCCCGGGGACAGGTACTTCCTCAATACCTCCTGGCCCGACCTGGCCCCCAGGGGGCTTTTCAGAAAGAAGGTGCGATTCCGAACCAAGCCGTACTGCTGCAGCCTCTGCTCGTACTCAGCAGACATGCTCTCTTCTCTCAAAAACCATATGCGTCGGTGCCACGAAGACGAGGCCGACCAAGAGCTGCAGATCCAGTGCCCCGATTGCTCATTCGTTTCACGGCCCAGTGTGGTGAGCAGGCACTTCTCGTTATTCCACGAGATGGCGGTGCAGGATCAGAGTGCCCAGGATGGGAAGCCCTTGAAGGGCTACATAAAACAGTTCACATGTTTGAAGTGTAGCTTTTCCAATACCACTTTCGGTAGCATGAAGAAGCATGTGCTCCTCACCCATTTTCAGTTCTTACTTAATGCCTACGTTGGCTTTCAGAGTCAGGAAGAACAGGCGCAGCCAGAAGCCGACACTCTACTGGCTGGGAGATACTATTGTAAAAAGTGTGGCGCCACTGTGTGCAGCCAGGATGGTCTGATGTCCCATATTCTGACATCAGATCTACACAAGGACTTGGAGAATAAGCTGCGATCTGTGATCTCAGAACACAACAAGCGGCCTGGGCTTCTGAAGCAGGTGCCCGTTGCTCCAAAGCCACAGGCAGGCTTGGCCAGGGCAGCAAACAGTGCTCCGCGCGCAGCTGCTGGGGCAAAGCCACGTCGGTCCCGTCCTGCCGTGTCAAAGAACGCTCCAAATCCAGCCATTGCAAAGTCAGTGACCTTGGCCCAGCCTGTGACCACTGCCCAGGTACAGCCACCAGCGGGGGTCCCAGGCACTTCCTGGAGCCTCACTGATTCTGTGCCTACTGCTGCCCAGTCCCACACGGCTGTTGTCTCCAGCCCTCTACCGGTGGGCCAGACCAGCCTCACACTGCAGCCTCCAGCTCCCTCGACTGCCCTCTCCTCAGACAGGGCTTCACTTAATAAGCCTATCAACCCTCCTGCATTGCCCCTGAGTCAGCCCCTTGGGCCTGTGAAAAAGTCTGTTAGAATGAGCGATCTCCCAGTGAGTCAAGTGATCCTATCTGGGCTTTCATCCCTGCCACAGCCCGTGGGGTCTGAAAGTCAACCAGCAAGACCTCTGGTCAGATCAGTGAGGCCAGTGGAGCCCACAAGCAGACAGATCAGGCCTGGTACCCTATCTTGTGGTGTTTCTGCCAGTCCTGGGGTTCTGCAGGCCACATCACCAGGAGCAATTTCTGTGGGTCAGGTGGTCTCGTTGGCAGTCATTCCTGAAGGTCAGATGCCCCCTGCTTCTGTGATGCCCCCTGCTTCTGTGATGCCTGTACAGCTAGCAACTTCTGGGGTCCTTCCCACTGGCCCAGCAGTCCAGCCCAGGGTTCTCCATGTAGATCAGGCTGCCTCAGCACAGGCTCGCCCCTCTTGTCAGACAGTGTCCATTAGGGTTCTTCCTGCAGATCAAGTGGTATCATCTGGGTTGCGTTCCCCCAAACAGCTGATGATCTCAGATGTCCCCGTGAACCGGGATGTGAGCTCTGGTATTCCTCTGCTTGGTCAGCCTGTTACATCAAGAGTCCTTCCTGCAGGCCCACCAGTTAGACCCAGTGTGCTCCAGCTTAGTCAGTCTGTTGGCACCGGCATCTTGCCAGTGAGCCAGCCAGTGAGAGCTGAAACTTCACAGAACACCATGTTCCCCATGTCAGGCACTGTTTTCAGGAAGCTCCTCCCGACAGGGACACAGGTTAATGGGAAACCCATTTACATGCTGGACCCAGTGCCTGTCACTCTGCCTATTATTCCTCAGGGTGCTAGCGTCGTGATTGTCACTCCACCCCAGGTGCCCAACCAAGTCCTGTCCCCCAGTGTGGGTCCACAGATGTCCAGTGCTCTACCCAGCTTGTCCTCCTCTCGGGGGCCGGTAAACACTGCAGACCAGAATCTATTTGTTCAGGTCTCTTTACCCGAGGTGAAGGTGAATATGGTTGTCAGGCAGGCCAAGCAGTGGAAAACCTGCCCAATTTGCAATGTATTCTTCCCGTCCAATGTCTACCAGGCTCACATGGAAGTGGCTCACAAACCAAGTGAGTCCAACTCCAGTGAGAAGCGTGAGCCAGTAAAGCTGGCAGTACGCGCGCCATTTCTGAAGTGGACAATGGAGAAGGTCATGCGGTGCCTCTCCTGCAAATGCCTGGTCTCAGCGGAGGAGCTAATGTACCACTTGCTTACACATGGCTTAGGGTGCCTGTTTTGCCCATTTGCTTTCCACAGCCTGCAGGATTTCTTGGAGCATAGCAGAATTAAACACCATGGGAGGAGGAAGCTGTCTTTGGAGTACAGTAACAGGGGCTTCCAGTTGAGCCTGGATGCTAATGGCGACCTGTTGTTCCCCTATCTTGATTTCATCATTACTCTGCCAAGAGAGAAGATGGGAGAACAGGAAGTCTGCCTGGCTATCCTCTCAGGGATACATTCCACATCACTGGTTCCCTTGTATATTAAGGTGAGGCCTCAGGTTAAGGCTGTACCTAAGCTTCTTGGCAAACAAGAGCTGACCTGTCCCCTCTGTTCGAGCACATTCATGATAACCGAGACCTACTTGTTACATTTGAAGGACAGACACCATGTTATACCGACAGCCTGTACAGTATTCAATTCTCCTGCCTTCAAGTGTGTTCACTGTTGTGGGGTCTACCCTGGAAGCTTAACTACGGCAGCCGTCACTCTGCATTTGCTGCATTGTGGATGTGCTCCCAAAGACAACAGCTTAGACCGACAAATTGGGTCCGGTTTTGTTGCAGGCAGTGAACTGCAGTTCGCCAATAGGGAAAGGATTCCTGATTCTAAGTGTCCAGTAAAGAGAAAGTGGCAAGATGGCCATCTGGGGGCAGAAGACGAGAAGAGGAATGAGAAAGTTTCCTTGCCTGTCCTAAAGGGTGATGCAGCATCGGGTTTGGAGGAAGGGACTAGTGCTATGCCTTTGAAGAGACAAAGGATTGAAAGTACAACGGATGGACCGGTTGCTGATGATAATTTATTCCACATCCTAGCATTAGATCCTAGAAAATACAAAGACTGCTCCTATGAGAAAAAAAGGCAGTTTCTTAAAGAGTATTTCCATAAGAAACCATATCCTAGCAAAAGAGAAGTAGAACTGTTGTCTTTATTCTTGAAGATGGAAAGAGTTAATGTGGCTTTGTTTTTTGGAACAAGAAGATATATTTGTTTGAAAGCAATAGAAGTCCACAGACCTTCAGTACTTCTAGGCTTTGATACATCTCAACTTAAAAATGTTAAACACAGACTGAGCTTTGAGTGTGAACCAGAAAACTCAGCTTAAAATTCCAGGCAGTAGTTTGAGCTGACTTTGTTGTGCTGGTTTCTCAGGTGCTCAGGAAGACTTGGGTTAAGAAGCAAATGTTACTCCAAATGTACTGATTCCCGTAGTTCAGTCTCTTAGTGACTCTTAAGTGTAACCACTCCCCTGTCATGTGAATTAAGTTTTGATATTCCATTATGGCTTATTCTCCTAGTAGTGTCCATCAAATGATATAAACCTGAAATCTGCAGATACTTGTCTTCTCCTTTTAGGGGATTTCTGCTTGTTTGTAAATGAAGAGTGTTGTTCGGAGTATTTTGGGCATCAACCAAGAAGATAGCTATATTTAGAGAAAAGAGCATTGCTATGTGTATGACTTTCCAAGAACACAGTTTTAAAATTTATATTTTATATATGAGTGATGTGTATGACAGAAGAGGGCATCAGATCCTATTATAGATGGTTGTGAGCCACGATATGGTTGTTGGGAATTGAACCAGGGCCCTCTGGAAGAGTTGCCAGTGCTCTTAACTACTAAGCCATCTCTCCAGTCTCTAGCTCTTTTTTGTTGTTGTTGTTTTTTTTTTTTTTGATTTTCTTTTTTTGTTTGTTTTTTGAGACAGGGTTTCTTTGTGTAACAGCCCTGGCTGTTCTGGAACTCACTATATAGACCAGGCTCGCCTGGCTCTGCCTCCCGAGTGCTGGGATTAAAGGCGTGCACCACTACTGCCTGGCAAAGAATACATATTTGAACATTAAATTCTGTTAATATTAGCTTGCAATATTATACTTTTTATTTATATTTTTCAGTTTTATCCTGAAAGCTTTAAAGAACACAACTCATAGAAAAACTAAATGTTTTCATTATTAAAAATATCCCTATCTTAGGGTCTTGTAAGCAGTTCACAATAAGTGTTCCTTTATAAATCAAGAGTTTGCAGAGGCAGGACTGCATTCCAGTGTGGACTTTATAGTGACAAGTCATCTCTCCATTAAAAGATAAGACAATTTTTTTTAAGCACATTTAGACTAGAAATCAAGAACACACACAGAGAACTCTTTCTTGCCTGAACTGTTCATAAATAGGTTGGAAGAAAGGTCCGTGGACACATATACACTATTTTTGCCTCTGTGCAGACTACCTGGGATGGATCACAGGTTTCAGGCTTGTGGTAAAAGGGGTAGAGCAGGAGAAACTTAGTTGATGTGTTAGAGTTGGGAAGATGACATTTCCTCTGCCCCAGGTATCAGGCATTGCTAAGGAATCTGTATTGAATTACTGTGTTGTATCTTCTACGGATACCAAACCTTGTGTTTTTTACACAATATAAGGCATCAACGTTGTGCGTAGTAACATAGACCAGCCCAGTTAGGTCTGGAGTCTTTGCCTTTTTTTTTCTCCTGGCAAAACACTACTTGTGAGGAAGAAGATGTGCTCAGGAAGAACAAACACAGACAGAGGAAGTGTACTTGATTTTTATTCTGAGGAAGGTGGTGATTGTGTCTATTCCCTATTGGCTGACCTCACAATCTTACTCACTTGGCAAATCTGAAAAGAATTGGTGCACAGGAAGTGGAGGAAGGGGAGCAAGGAGTCATTGCTGCAAGGAGAGAAGGGCCATTGCTTCAGGCTATCCGACTCCTAGAATAGGAATAGTACTAAAACCTCTTAATTCCTTGTCCTAACTATAAGTTTTATAGTATTTGATAGAAAAGACATTTGATACTTAAAAATTTTTCTTTTAAAACTGTTTTTTTTCAAACTCATCACTGTGTTTTTTTTTCCTGCCCTATCTTGGAATAAGAAACTACAATGGGGAGGAGGTACCTGTTTTGTAATAGCTTACTCAACTATCCTGAGTTAGATTCCTACTACAAAGGATTAGTTCTTTTTTTTTAATTTTTTGAATTAATTCTTATGTATATTTCATTAGCATGGTTTAGGTGAGCCTGCCTTTCTAGGGATAGTTCTTTGACCAGGAGATTAACCTGCCTGCAATGAAATACTAGGTTGATCATTGCCTTTCGCTGTGCAAAGGAGGAGCTTGTCTCCCTTCAGGTGAAGTACCAGAGTGTGGGGCTCCAGGAAGCATTACAGTGTGGCTATATAGATTTTCAGAAATGCAGCATTTGCATGCAGTGCTTGTAACATGCGTTCAGGCAGTTGTGAATCTTCTATAACTATTGGCTCACTCTAGTCAAATCTGAGGGCTGCTCAGATCTTTTTGTTGTTGTTGTTTACCTATTTTCAGAGTATCTACTGTGAATTAAAACTTGTTATACCACTGCCAAAAAAAATAAAGTTTTTTTTTGGAACCCAGTCTCAGAAATTTCTTATACACGTTGTCTGAGGGCTATTTTGTATCACAAAGGCAGAACTGAGTGAGTAGTGACAGAGATTGGGGACCTGGCAATTTAATATTTGCTATCTGGTTCTTTACACACAGATTGTTTCCAGCGCCTAGATTAGAGGAAGGCAGGAACATTTCTGAGTTTTGAAACCTTCCTCCTGTGGATTACTCCTTTCTTCCTTTAAAATTTGCTTTATGGAATTTCACCCTATACCTAAATAAAATGTTCCCTGTAAGCTCTATAAATAACTCTCACCCTACAACAGCTCTGTTTGTTCCTGATAAATCAGCAAGAGATCTTTTAGATGTGGAGAAACTGGCTAAGGGGACCTTCATCCTTTCTACCCCAGACCTGATAGTTCTTTACATTGGTTCTCTATTTTCTCCTGTTCTCTTCGATGCTCTGCAGCTCCCTGCTATTTCTAGCTCATTTCCCTGGCAGTGGGACCAGTCCCTGACACCCTACATCAACTCTATGCTCACTTCTCTGGCAGTGAGACTGCTCACTGATGCCTACATCAACTCTGTCCATTTCCTCTCAGCAACCTGCTCTGTTTCCCCTGCCTCTGTTCCTTCCTAAACCACAACCTTCCCAGAAAATCACTTGGTTTAATTCTGTCACCACATCATCTGCTTGCAGCTCTCTAGTTATTTTCCAAGTCTCTTCAAGAATGCAGGGCAGCAACTGCATGACCCATTGCAACCCATCAAGTTAAGACTCCCTACTATATGACCAGAGGACTCCTTCTCAATGGACCCAGAACTACCCACACCAGCAAAAGCCCTTTTCAGCAAAAAACAGCTATAATGTCCCTGCTGTATGTTTTTATATACTCTTAGTGTTAGGAATGATAGTTTCCTGCTAAAAGATTACACTTCCCAGTTTCCCTTGTGGCTAGACCAAGCAGTGCCAGGAGCAAGGGACTATATATAGTGTAGTAGTTTTCACATATACAGCGAACAGGCTGCATCCCATCTTATGTAGCAGCATTTTTGGCATCCACACAGATGGGTGACATGATAGACCCTTGCCACGAATAAACATGGTCGCACCTGTGTTATGTCAGCTTGATAAGGTTATCTGAGGAGAGGGAACCTCAACTAAGAAAATAGGATCAGGTTGTGTCAGGCCTGTGAGGCATTTTCTTAATTAGCGATGGATGGAGGAGGCCCATCCTATTGTGGGCGGTGCCTTCCCCAGGCTGGTGGTCCTGGGTTCTATATGAAAGCAAGTTGAGAAAGCCACAAGAAGCAAGACAGTAAGCAGCACCCCTTCATGGCCTCTGCATCAGCTCCAGGTTCCTGTCCTGATGTCCTTTGGTGATGAACGGTGATAGGGAGGTGTAAGACCTTTCCTCCCATGGTAATGAGCCCAGAGTAAGAGGTGCCATCTTACTAAGGAAGTTGTGTTCATAAAAATAACATAAGGGAGAAGAGGTGGCCATGTGTGTGTTTGTGTACTCTGAGCCCAGAGCTCAGTATTTCAGCCGGACAGGCTGGTTAAAGATCTTTCTGCTTCTTCTCTCCTATGCTGGGTTTGCAGGTTCCATGAAGCTATACCCAGCTTTTTTCATGGACACTAGAGCTCTGAATTCAGCTCTTCAAGGCTGGTATGACAAACACTTTACCTACTGAGCCATCTCCCCGGCCCAATTTATATTTCTTTTTTTAAATGATTTTTTTATTAAGGTATTTTAGTACTCTGGGAAGCTAAGACTAAGAAAGTACAGATGCTGAGAAGCAATGGCACTTGGTATCACATGGAGTTATAATTTCCCATAAGCACCGAATCTCCTGCTTAACAGTGTTGTGTTTTAAGATTTTGGATCATACTGAAGGATTGCAAAGACTAAAAAACACAGAGAGTCACAAATAGCCTCTCTTTTGAACAGAAATAGTTGAGCTATGGCTTTAAAAAACTGAATATATAAGTACCAAGCGAGAGCAATTTTAACTAAAATGCAATTAATTGTCCCCTTAGCCCTCCACCCTCTGAAAGTTTCCAGTGTACTCGCAAGTTTTCAGTGTAGTAACTGAAAATTATGGGTTAGTTTACAGTCCCGTTTCCCATTTTTTTCTTCTTGTAGTATTCTGTAAACACTATTGAATTGGGACTTAGGTGAAAGACGAAATCTTAGGGTAGTTTTTCTGTGCTTTCCTATTTTTTTCTCAGGGCTTTCTGTACCCCTTCATTTTAGGATCCAATAGTGCAGGGAGGAGAGTGGATAGTGGTAGCCAGTTGCTTTCCCCTCCCCTGCGTTCTTGATTTTAGGCTTGTGCCTCTTAAGATGTTTCCATATCCAAGAGAGAGTATGCATTTAAGGCCACATGCAACGGGAGCCCTGCTGCAGATGCAGGTGGCATGAGGTACGGCCGAGTCTGACTGAGTCAAGAGAGTCTTCATGAGGTTCTAACCAAGATGAAACACACTTAAGGTTCATTTGATATTAAGGCTAAGTATTTTTTTATTTGCCCCCAAACAGCACTATATAGTAAACCATCACAGAGGGGGAAGCAATTCTGCCTGATGGGTAGGGGTATCTTTACCTTGTTGATGACGTGTATCACTCCGTTTGTGGCTGCATTGTCACCATCCACAATGGATGCCCCCTCAATGGTGATATTCTGCAACCGTAAGCACAAGCGGGGGGAGGTGAGTGTCCTTGGGAAATTGCATCACCTCTGGGGTGCCTGCCCCTTGAGCAGTGGTAACCATCAGAGTTTTGGGCCATATAGACAGTGACTGTCTACCAATCAAGAGCAATTGAGCGCTAATCGTTTTGGTTTCATTTTTTTCCCCCCCATTGGGACCTTGGTTTGCAATTCCTCCTAGATCTTAGTTAGGGAGGAGGGATGCTTGCCTAACCCTGAGCAAGCACGTTTCATGAACAGAGGCCATGGAAACACAGCAGACCACCTGTCACATCTTGTTTTGTTAAAGGGGATGTTTTTATTGTGTTAGACACAGGAATGAACTTAAGAAAAATGTATGTTTAATGATTATCTCCTCAGAGTCAGGGCCTTGACTCATTTATCTTGGGACCTGGATAGCTTGTGACACCCCAGGGTGGATGTTAACGTTGCTAAGGAAATTGTTGGTTTGGAACACCAGTGCACTAGCCTGACTACAGTAATCACATGTGAGTATACACAAAGGCATGTTGTAAATTAACAATTTACGATGCCTACCTTTTGTTTGCACTGTGGTGCTTCAGTATGTTGTATACACTGGGCAGTGATCTAATTAGGATATTTCAGCTCCATCATCCAAATAATTTATTTTTTCCTGGGATGACAACATTCAAATCCCTTCTTCCAGCTATTTACTGATTTTCCGAGAGCACCGGAGGTTGAATATAGGACTTCACATATGTGCTCTTCCACTGAGCTATGTCTCCAACCCACGTTTTACTTTTCATTTCAAAACAGGGACTCACTAAGTTGTCCAGGGCTGGCCATGACCTTACTCCATATCCAGGAAGCCTTGAACTTGTAGTCCTCCTGCCTGGGCCTCTCGAGTAGCTGGGCTCACCTATTTATTTGTAGGCTGTAGTGTTGTTAGGCAGACAGACACAGCTGTGCGATATTCCTCAATGTTCTTTCTCACTAGCGGCATCTTTGCACCATTATCTTTTATAAAAAATATTTATTTTTTTGAGACATGGTCTCACTGTGTATCCCTGGCTGGCCTGGAGCTTGTTATATAGATCAGGCTGATCTTGGACTCACAGAGAGCCACCTGCCTCTGCTTTCCTCAGGACTGGGGTGAAAGGCATATGTCACCATGCCCAAAATATGTACCCAAAATCTTTATCTCATATATTTTTTTTAAACAATTCAGAATGTAATATGAATGTCGTTAGAATTTCCAAGGATTTACAAAAGAAGGTTTATAAAATATCCATGGAAGCCCTTGTTAGTTTTCTGCTATCTACACTAGTCAATGAGCCTAATGTTTAGACTCAACTCAGTGGGCTCTTTTCCTAATTCTCATAGGCTGAAAGGTAAGCTGGGAAAGTTCTGAGCCTTTTCTGCCCATGGCTGAGGAGTCATGGTGGCTGCTGTTCCCACTTGCATGCTAGAACTCTTATTTTTATCCACTCATGGGAAGACTAACATTTGATCACTCACAGCCACTAAGCCAGAATTCCCCCTCTGATGGGCACGTGAGTCCTTAATAGACTCCAGGAATGCCAGAAAACCGGTTTCTCTGGAGTCTCACTCTTCCATGGCCACTGCCCAGGTGTGCAGAGTAGGTACTTATTACAGGCTTGCAGTCCGCTAACTCACATGACATCCAGGCTCTAGCATCAAGATGCACGTGTGTGCAGAGTAGGTACTTATTACAGGCTTGCAGTCCGGCTAACTCACATGACATCCGGTTACTGGCGATGATTCTGTTAGGAGCTGTGGGTTACCAGTGTTACTTGACTCTGCACCAAAGCTGTGGGACTCACTGCCCTTTTCCCTCTCTAGGACATGTCAGGAGGAGCTCCATGGTCTGCATTTTGGATCACTGCTTCTGAAAGTCTTTGTCTTTTTTCTTAATTTTTTTTCATACAATATATTCTCTATCATGTTTTCCCTTCCCTTTAAGTCCTCCCAGATTCTCCCCACTTCCTTCCCTGACTTTATGGTCTTTCTCTCTTACCCCTCCCCCCACAAAACACAAAAATGAAAATTAAAACAAACAAAGGACAATAAGACAAAAGATGCCAAACAAAATGAAAAGCACCCCCTGAAAAGAAACATGAGGTTCATTTTGTGTTGGTCAACTACTCCTGAGCACGGGGTTTGCCCTGGAGTATGGTTGATATACCCAGTGGCACTCCATTGGATAAACTGATTTCCCTTTAGTGATGGCTAATAGTGATTGTCGACTTGGTGGGATCCAGAATCACTGTGGAACAAGCCCCAGGGAATGTCTACAAGGGACTTTAAAAACTAGGTTAACCGAGGCAGGACGACCTACCTTACATATCAGAAACATTAGTGTATGAGCTGGAGTCTGGACTGCATAGACAATAGAAAGCTAGCCACTCTCCCTCATTAATTTCTCCTGACTGTAGGCTGTGTGATCATTTGCCTTCAGCTCTTGCCATCGTGACTTCCCCTCAAACTGTGAGCTGAACAAACCTTAAGTTGCTTTTCTCAAACGCTTGATCACACTGACGAGAACATTAATGAATATACTGATGTAGCCCAGTTGTTTTTGTTTTTTAAGTGTGTACATGTGTGATCATTGTTGCAACTGGGTGAAGCTCACACAAGCTCCTGTAAATTCCAATCACAGAAATTGAGAGAGGACAGCATGAGTAAAGGTTCCATGCTCCAGACAGCCAGATGACATTGCTCTTACCCTATCTGCCTTGTCCAGGCGAAGGAAGCTTCCTTGCAAAGATGTTGCTAGCATGTCGGAGGATGACAGGTTCTGCAGATCGGCCCCTCCATATGTGCCTCGTACTATGTGATATCTACAGCATCAGATCACAAGGGTCACAGTCAATATCCATGCACCAGCTAGTGTCACTGACCAGGAGAACAAGTCCTGGGGCAGACTAGCACCCTCAGACTTGACCTTCTCCCCTGCAGTGGTCAGTCTCAGCTGGAATTAGCCATCAACCACTCTGTGCCTTGCTGTTACATCTACCAAATGGGAATACACTGTAGCACCTATCTCAGAGGTGTCGGCAGGGCTAACCAAATGATATGCAAA